GCTATACACCTGGGCATAATATCTGCCCCACAATATCCTACAATTAGAGGCAAGTCATGAAAAGTAAACAAGCTTGTTCTTTCTGCGACATGTGTTTCTACCTTATATTGGGTCTTCATCTTTAATTATACTAAAGCAACAAATGGGCATTTTGCATAGACATTTCCTACAATAGAATAAAAATGCTGGATTTTTACCAGGTAAGAACTATAGTTCAATTTCCCCCTTGTCCAGACTACAGCCCTATTTCCCAATTCTCTGGTCTCTCTTTTCATCCTTTCGGTCTGTACTCCTCCGAAACTGAGCATCCAGATTGTGTCAAATCTCCCTGTCTGACAGGCACCCCTTCTACACTGGCCCGTCTCTCCTCTATCCAATCTATATATCTCTAGCCAGGAAGAAGTATTTGTAGTTCTTCAAACCTAGGAAAGTCATTTTAAGCAACTTGTCCTTGCTCTTGCTGTCTTGTGTAATCAGTTCTTTTCCAGTTCCTAAAACCAGCCCTATTTTGTCTCCTTGGAAGATTTAGCTCTAAAGTTTTCAACTTCACCTTCAATGAAGTCTTTCCCAAGGCAATCAGACCTTCTTTGAGGTACAACACACCTCCATGCCCATGGCTCAGGTTTTCTGTATGATTACTGAGAGCATAAGTGGCATTTTATTGACCCCACACACTGCAATATGTAGAGCTGAAAAGAGAATGGCATGAGTTCTCTGAAATATTAGATTTGGTAACCTTCACATCTCCAAATCCCTTAAATTTCTCTTTTTTTCCTAACCAAAACAAGCAGTTGACTGTTTTACTATTATCTCTTTCTTAACAACTGTACTTAAAATAAAATTAAACAGAACAAAATGAAACAAAATCACATATTAGAATTGAGATACACAAACCATAGAGAATACCAAAATTGTCCCGGGATTCAGGTACTGAAAGAGAACTAAATATCTTCACCAGTTCATGGGCATGAACTGGGGTCCACACCAGAGCCAAGTAATACATTTTCAT